ATTGCTAAAAGTTTTTTCAAAGTAATTATGTTTTGAGATAATTTTTGTAAAGAGATTTCTGCACCAAAGAGTATATAAATAGCAACGCTACTTACTTAAGTTATTTTTGCTCAATCATGCTAATAGTCAAGTGTTTTTCTATATCCAAGTATTTTAATTACAGCTGGCATTTCTAAGCTGCCTATTGATGGTAAGTGCTGTGCAGAAATATTACCATTTCTATTAGTAGTCATATGAAAGTCATATAGGAGAAACCAAACTTCATTTTCTAATCTGTCTCAGTTAAGTTTAACCCTTTTGACAAAAAGCCTGCAAGATATGAACCATATTATGTTTTGCAAGTAGGCCTTCATATTTCCTTTCTGACAATTACACCGCTAACACATTTCATCTCTTAAAAAGAAGAATTTTTCCTTATCATATTACAAGCTAAAGTTTAAAATGTTGTATCTTTTCAGTGAGATTGAAACTTCCTTCAGATGGCTCAGAAAAGCCAAATGTAATTAAGCCACTTTAAGAAACATGCACCACATTGTCCTCAAAAGGTTTAACTATGCACTTAAGGAAAAACACATAAGCCAAAACCGCGAGCATTAGTAAACAAAAATAAAAATGAAAAATCTTTAAAGAAAAAGGTTCATATTCTTTACATCAGCCTAAATTCAGGCTATATAAACAACACTCCAGTGCAATAAAATTGAGATTAAGTGTCTTTTTGGGAGTTGACAATGTCTATTATGCCTAATAAAACCAAAGACAGAAGAAATTCTATGACAGCAAGGTTTCAGTGAGTAGATACACGGTTTTCCTTTCTTTCTCGGAGAGTAGAAGAACTTTGAACTTCACCTTTGATCTTGCTCCTGGAAAAGACTTTGACTTTCTAAAGGAATTAGTGAAACTCGATCATAACCAGATCATGGAATAAGAAGATCTGGCACGTACGCACACTAATGTACAAATTAAATAATCTAATTTAATACTATCAGAAAGCCTAAGTGATTTACTACTGTCAAATTTCAAAACCTCACTAGGAAGCAGAGACTGTCATTTCAGGGCATTCCCAGTCTTAGAGCTGAGGGGCCATACAACTGAGTTTCCCAATCAGTGACAGCTGACAACTACAATTATGCACACAGTGGATACAAGATCAGCACTAGTATACCACAAATGTACAGTCTTGGTATCCTACCACATAACTATTTCTGTTTACCTCAGAGCCTTCAACAAAGTGATGTGGCTCTTTTAGCTGAGTACCAAAGTTAACCAGGTACTCACTGCAATGCAACTTGCCTGTGGTGTTAGACACTCTCAGGCATGCAGCTTCTTTGGTATGCAAGGAGAAACACCCCTCTCCCCAGCACTGACTGTTCATTTTTGAGGAAAAAAAAAAAAAGATTACTTCAATAATTCTTTAGCTTTCCTGGATCCATCCCCACCTCCACCTGTGGAAACTAAATTTAATCCCGCTGGTGGATATGGTGGGTGTAGGTGGACAAGAGCACTGACAGGTATTTAGCAAAAACGACAGCCAAGAGCTGGATGTCAGAAGGGCATAGCTCCTGTGTTATGGAACAGTACACCCCAGATACCAACACAAAACTACTGTAAAAGGATGTAAAGAGGGTCACGTGTAGTGACACATGCATCTGTTTTTGTAGAACAGTGTAAATAGATGCCTGAGGGGGAGTCTGATGAGGAGCAGCTGAAGGAACTGGGGTTGTTTAGCCTGGAGGAGGCTGAGGGGAGACCTCATGGCCCTCTACAACTGCCTGACAGGAGGCTGTAGCCAGGTGGGGGTCGGCCTCTTCTCCCAAGTAACGAGCGATAGGACAAGAGGAAATGGCCTCAAGTTGCACCAGGGGAGGTTTAGACTGGACATTAGGAAAAGTTTCTTCCCCAAAAGGGTTGTCAAGCACTGGAATGGGCTGCCCAGGGAAGGGGTTGAGTCCCCCTCCCTGGTGGTATTTAAAAAATGGGTAGGTGTGCACTTAGGGACATGGTTTAGTGGTGGAATGGGCAGTGCTACATTAATGGTTGGAATCAATTATTTTAAGGTCTTTTCCAACCTAAATGATTCTATGATTCTATGCCAAAGGCACAGGCAAGGAGTGAACTCAGGAAAACCTGTAGAATTCACACCTGAGGCTCCAGGCAGGGCAGGGACA